ACTCTAAATTGGGTGCGGATCTAAATACCACCAAATTACATTGTATGAAAGTTGTAAAAAATCAATAAAGAACTAAAGAAAAAGGAGTTTTTCATTTTATTTATTTTTATTTTATGAGTGTTATTCCTGCATGAATGTTAAGTGCACCTGTGTTGTGCAATGCCCATGGAGGTCAGAAGATGGCATCAGATCCCCTGGAACTGGAATTATGGATAGTTGTTGACTGCTATGTGGGTGCTGGGATTCAAATCTGGGTTTTCTGCAAGAGCAGCCAGTGTTCTTAACCAATGAGGCCTCTCTCCATCCCCAAGAATACTTTTTAAATGGGGTCCTTTAAAATGTCTGCACTCTATTTTAACACTGTCATAACACCTGTTTTGTGTCATAGGAGGGACTCATTAAAAAAGCTGTATGGTAACTCTTTGTAATGATAAAACTGAAATTGTGGGGCTGGAGGTGAGGGTGGGGTACTGTACAGCTCAAGGGTAGAGCACTGGTTTAATATTGTTCTAGGGCCTACATTCAACCCTAACACCAAAACCAACCAATCAACCATTCAGTCAACCTGAGAAAATCTGCCTAAATTCTCACATAATTCAAACATTAAATGTTTTTCATAGTCAAATGACATGGTCAACATTGGAAAAATTTCCTTCAGTAAGTCATCAGGTTCCCAACTTTGGCAGTGGCTTTGATGAAACAAAAAACAAAATGGATCTTGTTTTCCTTCTCACAGTAATCACTCCAATCTTTGTGGGCAGTAGTACTTAGACACTGATTATTGTTCACTGGTAAAATGATAATGGTCATTACAAAATCCATTCAATCTGTACAGGGGCACTGTATGTAAGAATTCTCTGATTGTGGAACATTTCTAAATTCCATGCTTTCCAAGACTTGAAGCAGCTTAATGCCATGATGACTATGACATTATTTCTATAAGACTAAGGGACAAAACTTTGAATTTTATTTAGCTTTAATTCATTTACACAGTCACATATGTCTAGTGCCTACCATAAAGAGAGTATGGCTATAGAGCACATAAAAGAAGAAATGAGCACACACATTTTACTTAGTATCTAACTCACATTTATTAAAAATTGAAGATTATAGACATGAGTAAGACTGCCTTCCTCATTAAACAAGATTAATTAACCTATATTTGACTAATAGATGAAAATACTACCACAAAAAATTGAGAAACATTCTATGCCAACCTGTGAAATTAAGAAAATAAAAATAGTTAAGACATGTTCCAAAAGAGAGAACCACCATAGAGACCTCCCTCTAGTGGTGAGAGATAACATTGGTTTGTTTTTTTTTGTTTGTTTCTTTTTGTTTTACATTTTGTTGGTTTTAAAAAAAGAAATGGAACGAATGACTTGCATCTGCATCTATCATAGTTTTTTTCTGAAAACTTAACTTTAAAAGATTCTACAGTGAAAGGAAAATAGTTTACTGTCAACAAAAGTTCAAACTAATTTTCACTTACTGTATATAATCGTGAATAATTTGTCTAGAAATCTGATCTCTTCAGAAAAAGTATTTTGCCAATGACTATTGGGAGACTGGGACTCTCACTAAGCAAGCTTACAGAGAGCCCTAATCAAACTGTGGGTAAAAGAAGATGGCAATTCTCTGTTAGTAAATGTGCCAGAATGAAACATGGAAGGCGCTGACTCATAGTATAAAGCAGTAAACAGCAGTAGGGTTTGTAACAAGAAATAATGAAAATGGTATCATGACAGCAGTTCTTAATAACCAAAATGACACTTTACATCCTGATACTCAAGTTCAAAAGACAACTCTGACACATAGCCTGTTTCAATACAACACACACACACACACACACACACACACACACACACACATTTAGACGGAACTGTGAAAATACTTTCATGTATAAGAAGGAACTCAAAATAGAAATCACTTATGTTAAAACATCATTCCCTCACACAGCTTCAGGGAAAACACAGTCTTTATATATACTGCAGTAAGTACAGAATGTACAGAAGACAGGTATATATACAAAAGTGCATTAATATAGTAATACATTTAGCAGGAATACAGGAAAAAAATCCTGATTAACAATCTGATATATTACAGTATTTAAGACTACTTGAAGATTCTTCAAACCAGTCAACTTCTTACTTGCTTTGGTTATGATACTGATGCTACATAACTAAGTTTTGAAACTAAGGGGGGAAAAAGACAAAAACCCTACGGTTTGCAAGTTTTACCCATCTGTGAACTGTTTTATATGTACTTGTGTTTATTGTTAATTTCTTTTGACAGCAATTCCATGATACTGCCAACACAAAGATTTAGAATGGATAATACTTCTATCTAAATTAGAGTACTCAAATAGGAAATTAAATTTACGCACTACAAGAACAGGTACTATCAACTCAAGTCTTTAAAGGTCTCACTAAGATAACCTAATCTGGAAGTCTCAATATAAAACTAGATGCCAACTTCTGTTTAAGAGCAAGCCATGGTATTAGGTCACTGTTCCTCTGAACAATTCAGAATCTTAAGTGATAACTTGTAATTAGCACATATTAATTCTACAACTACCTTTACACAGTCAAAAAGGATAAGCACTTCTTCCCTTTTTACCCCATCCATCACCACAAAAAAGAACACAGTTCCATTAACCACAGAGATGTAACCGCAGAAGAAACCAGATAATAAAGAAAAAGTACTACATATTGAAATCAGCAATGACCATAACCATTTTTTCTGAGCTTGGCATGAATGTCAAATTTAAATACAATTTGTCTTTATTTGATCCAAGTTAAAACACAATCAATTTTAAAAATAATTATACAAGGAGCTGAAAATAAATCATTTTGGCATTTAAGAAATGAAAATATAATTGTAGTAAATCAACTCAGATTTTCAGCTATATCATGCAACTTTCCTTACTTAACAGCCAGTTAGAGGAATTTTCAGAACTCCTTCTAAGCCTTTTGGAGAAAGTAAATTATTTTCCAGAGACAAAATTTAAATATTCCAAGGACTGTGTTCTATATACTATGCTGACAGAAATGTCCAGCTCACAATATCTGAGGGCTCTTAATTCACTTAATATAATTCAATTTTAAGATAAAATTTTATCTTATTTTCTCAAGCTTAAAACTACTACAAAGTTACCATAGAGTTTTACTCAAATATTTATTTCCTATTAGCCCCTTTCAATATTAAATTTATTTCTAAATATGTTGAATATTAGTACATTCAACAGTAATACTATGCAATGTAACAGAATTATACTATCAGCTAATCCCAAACTACAAACTGACTTTACCCTCCATCAGTTCCAAACAAGGATACTGAAGACAGAAGTACTAAGAGGTAATTACTTAAAGAGGGTATGTACCCAGCTACTACATAAAGGAATTCAAAGAATCCCCAAAGTTAACAAAACAATCACCTTGCTATATAATCTTGGTTATTGAAGTGTTTTTGTCTATACTCTAAAAATTATCTTTCTAGATAACTAAAAGTTATCTAGTTTTTTTAATGTATTCACCCCAGAAATAGTAGCACACTTGGACCTTAAAACACCAGAGAAGTTGAGAAAAGAGGATCATGAGTTCCAGGCCAACCTGAGCAACATAGCAATTTGAAGGCCAGCCTGGAGTACATAGTGAGAGCCTGTCTCAAAAAAAAACACAAAATTCAAAAACACAAACAACAACTCTAAATAAAAAGTATCGTGTGCTCAGACTTTTTTTTTCTTTTTTACAGTGGAATCAAAACTTTAGTGAAACCTTTACCTACCTGTCAAGACTCTTCAATGATCTGGCTGGCCAAAAATAATGTTAAGCAAATGAAATCTAAGATCAGACGCTTTGTATTTCATTTCATAGCATAACACTTCTGATTTCTTCAACTGAATAGTTTTGCTTACTGATATCCAAGTACCATGGGTATTACACAAACCAAATTATAACATTCTCATTATTTGAGTTTGGAAAAGCCTGATAATGATGGAAAGTTCAAAGTTCACCACCTTTAAGGCACATGAGGCTACAGAAAGAAGTCATGAACAAAACATAGGCTAAGAGAACCCTAAACAAGTAAGACTTCTATAGCGTTTATGTAGTAACATTTTTGGCTTAAATATGAAGACATAAATTTTACACTTTTTAAAGCTCATCAGAATTTAGATACCTTTACACAATAGCTTCTTACATATTTTCCCTTTATGAGGAAAAGCTAAATAAAGTGAAATGTCTGCCCACACTATAAAGGATTATTATTTTATAAGTCTGTTTCTGAGATTAATTCCGTAATATCCAACTTATTTAAAGAATAGAGGAACCAAACTAAACTACTATCTAACAAAAAATGAGACAATTTATGGGGAAAAGTGTCATTTTACTCTAAGTTCTTGTTGGAATAGAATGAACTAACCCTTTATAACCTACTACACATTATAGTATGCTGCCTTCCTTTAATCATTTGCCAAACTGTAGAAAAATACATGCCATTTTGTCTAATTCAAAGTTCACACTTTTAAAAGCTGTGATAAGTTCTGACACACTCTTATAAAATCTGTAATAAAAGGTCTCTGGATAAATCTATGGGGACCTTTTCATGCTCTTGGTTAATAGTTTCTTTCTGAAGAGGAAACTTATTCATTCCAGTGTCAATTCTGTGCAGATGAGAGCCAACACTAAAACAAATAATGCTCACCTTTCCATTTATCTATTCATACACATTTATCATCTATTTTGATCAAATTTATTCCCCTTTACCCTCTTTTGTCCCCTTTGACCCCTTCGACTAATGCTCTTCCTCTTCCCAATTTCATGTTTTGCTCTTTCAAATCTAGATTCCACATGTCAAAGAAACCATGCAATGTTTGTCTTTCTGAGTCTGGCTTGTTTTGCTTAGCATGATGATCTCTATATAGCTAAATATAACTGCTGGGCATATATGTCACATTTTCTTTATTCATCTGCTGATGGACATCCATTTATTGTCTATTGTGAATAGTGGTATAATAAGTATGTTAAGTACAGATATTCTTCATTTTTTTTTAGGTATATACCCAGGAATGGTAAATTTGGATCATATGGTAGTTCTAGTTTTAGTTTTTTGAAGAACTTCTATCCTGATTTCCACAGTGGCTATTCCAGTTCATATTAGCATCAGCAGTATACATAGGGATCCCTGCCCATTCTTTCAACTGGTTTGTTTTTGTTTTCTTGATGATCGTCATTCTGACTGGAATAAGATGGAATCTCAACAGTTTTGACTTTAATTCCCAGATTTCTTTTAATTAACTGATTATGTAGGTTTTACATTTAAAAAGAAAAAATGACCAGAATTTGTTTTAAATATAACTCATAGAGATGCCAGATTTAATAAGTTATTACTTATTTTGTGCAACTAATAATTACAACTTGAAGTATCTATATGAAACTTTAAAACAGATTTTTAAAAAGTACAGCACATAAGCAATTGTCTTTTTTGCATGAGTTTCTGTTTTGGAAGCATAGAGAAAGACTTTAATTTCTCTCTTAGATCATAAACAAGTTCAGGTAGATTAAAGTTTTTCTTTTAAATGAAAGAAGTATCTTCACTCTCCTTCAAAGTGACTTTCCCTGCTAGCTCTAATATATACTATTATAGTGACTCTGAACTTGCACAAAATTTCATGACACATTTCTATAAATACTCAAACCTTTACAGACGTGAACAATCTGCCTGTTATACTTTGGTAAACTTGTTCAATAACGATTGAAGTTAAATCTAAGGTAATGCGAGTACATGACTGCTGGGGGCAGGGTAGAGGTTTTAAGTCATATCATGGCCTGGTTTAGGGTTTTCTTTTACTAGTCATGAACAAATAGTTACTAAGTGTAGGACAGACAAATGCTGCTCTATATCTCAATGTGGCCTATTTTCCTTGAAAAATAGGAAAAGAAAGCAGATACTTCCTCTGTGGGATTTTGCTTTTGCTAAAGAAAAGCAGAGAATTCAAATGTACTTGTGTCTATCTTTTCTCTATTTCTGTACTTGAAAAGGAAAACACAAAGGATGACCCTCTGCACCTTCCACCAAGTATTCTCGAGTCTAGCCCCAAGATCTCTTTAAGCCCTATAAGCTAGGCAGGAGTACCAAAGAGGAGGTAGGAGGAAAGTCAGAGAGACTACTTTAATGGATGGCACACGCAAACTCATGCTTTTATTTTGGTAGAATTTTACATTCTGATTTTTGTAGCCTTCAAAAAGTTATAATCAGACCACAGATCTCAGCAAAGCGGCAGTATACAAATTTTTACCCTTGGTTACAATTCTTTAACCTTCAAAGAAACAAAATAAAACATTTTTAATGCAAACAAAATTTTAATTATTTGTTTCTTTGAGACAGGGTATCATTATGTAGTCCAGGCTGGTCTTGAACTCAGTCTCCTGAGTGCTAGTTAGCATTACCAATATATGCCAACAAACCCAGATTAAATCTTTATTTTCAATTTAGCAAAGTTTAAGCCTTTATATCAACTGGGAATTAAGAATTTAAGTTGCTAATCTTTTTGATGAAGTAATTCTAACAAAAGTTGAAATCCTATTAACTGCTGAACTCTACAGAGTTTATAAAATATTGCTCATAACTTTCTACATAATCAGATTACCTTCTTCTAAGTGTTTTCTACAATAAAATGAAAATTATGAATGTCAGAAAGCAACTTGATTGTCAGCAGTATCAGTTTCTGTCTTCTGTAACCCATGTGAATGCTCAAACATGTAGCAGAAGAAAAGGAATCTCACTATTCCAAATTCATGATAATGAATTCTATATGAACATTAAAGAAACTCCAGGATTTCACATTTAAAATTAGAGTCCTATTAGGAACCAAGAAACTAAAGTGCCTTCTATGCCTCAATGCTTTGTATCTTTGTATACTTAAAGTAGTTCCTAGAAAAGTTTGGAACTCTAAAGGGTTTTATCAGTTAACTTTTAATACTAACATGTTCACATGCCTGAAACTATTATACCAAATATTTTAAAATTAGAGCTGTGCTGGATAAAAATTTCCTGCAAAAAAAAAAAACCTTGAGAGAAACAGATAAGTTTTTTGGTTTTGAGATAATTTTGCAGCCTAAAATTTCATAAAGCAATGGGAAAGTACTATTGGTAAGCTTTTCCTAATTGTATTCTTCATCAATATTAATCAACACAGCATTAAGTCTAAAATTTCACTACTGTAGCATTATTTCCTCAGTAGTCAATTACATAACTGATTCTCACTTGACAAAAGGAAAATACTAAAAGCACATCTAATTGGGAAAAAATTAGGGTCTGTTATTTATTACCTTTGCATTAATAATGAATGAAAACAGAACCACACTTAATGAAGGCACTATTGTAAACAGCTATGCATACCATGTGTGCACCCTAACCTCAAAGATTTGCCCCAAGGAACTGAGAATTATGCTATGACCCTCTGGAAAAAGTAAACTAAGAAATCTTATCATTAAGAAAGGAACTGAATTGTGAACTCTCACATACGCTGACACAACAAACTACTTATCATTAGCACTTTGAAATAAAAGTCTAGTTTTTCAAAAGTCCATTTAACCATCAAAAAGTCTAAATAGTTACATTTACTTAAACCAATGGTTCTTAAATCAGAATGTGCATGAGAAAAACCTGACATTGGTTAAAACACAGTGCTGCACCCCCACCTGCCAGTAGTTTCTGATTCACAGGGTCTGGAATGGGACCCAATAGAATTCATTCCTAAGATCTTTTCGGATGATGCTGAAGCTGCAGGTCCTGGGAACACCCTCTGAGAACCACTGGCCTAAATTTTTAATGGTACATCATCAGCACAACCCTAACCAAAATTTTGGTCAAGATGCATGTAAACCAATAAGGACAGAATAATGCTTAGAATGAATGCTGATAAATTCACTCTTATTACATCAAAACATCGACATCTGCTTCATGGTCTTCCTCAGTCACTTTCAAGGACAGTACTTCTTCATTAAGGAAGAGCCCACTGAGCCTCTCCTTCCGGGCCTGCCTCTGCTCCTTCAGCTGCCTCTTGCGGAAAGCCTTCTGCTGTAACTTCCGTTGCTTGGATCGCTTCTGTAAAGTGAAAAGTTTTAGATCAGTAAAGTTTAGTTCTGCACATATCCAGCCCAGGGGTTTGTGCCTCAAATTCTCTGTTTTCTGAATTTTAAGAGCTATTACATTTCTCCGTAGTATGATTCTTAAACAAATAAGCCTTTGGCTTAGACCTAAAAATGGTAATTTTAATATTCTATCTTTGTGGCATTTGAGTAGTGACTCTTTTCATTAGGAAGGACTGATACTTGATCATTTGGGCTAGCTATGGATAAAAAAGACAGTTTGAAGAATTTCTTTAAAAGTCAAATTAGGGTACACTGGTATCAATGCATAGCCCCCCCAAAAAATTACTAGAGTACAGTATTGAATTAAAAATGTAGAGAATATTGCCCAAATCCCTAAAACTTATGCTTTCAAGGTACCATTTATCCCTAAGTACTAAAAATTTTCCAATGGCTGAGAAAAAATCGTGTATTCCTCATATTAGGAAATGCTATCTTAAAAGCCTATTAGGTTTGCAATGGGTACTGTAGTCCTCTCATCACTAGTAAACGGATGCCCAAATGGAATGACCACATCTTTAGTGAGATCCCTTAGTAAACACCAAAGATGGCTATGCTTCTGCTACTTTGATAAGAACCAGGGAAGGAACCATTTTGTATCTTCAGAACACCACTGGGTTTCCAAACAGTTAGAGAGTCTCTCTTTATCTTTAAATTGGCTCAACTCTGTGCTACTGCAAGGAACTGTACATACTCCTACGCTAAGCCACATAATCAATCCATATAAATTCTACCTTCTTTTAAAAGTTCCCAACAATAAGTTTCAACTGTGAAAAGAATAGATGGAAATTACAGAAAGCATTATTATATTTTAATTAGTTAAGAAGCAACAGTTAAGATTAAAACATTAAGAAACCATTTAATACACACATACACAAACACATCAAAGACATACACAACAGTTGTAGGAGCTAATAGACAGCAACATCAGCAACATAGTGAGATTCGCTCAGTAGTGAGTTGCAGTCAATATTGCAATCTTGAGAATTAGTTATTATTTTCATCAATATTTCTTACTTAAAACAAACACAAATAGCAGAAAAGATTGAATGTGACATGGTTGCAGGTCAAATGTACTTGAAAGCACTCAGCCTAGAATGCTTTGTTCAACAGCAGAGCATTCTGCTTGTTCAATCAAAACAAAACCCACAGGTATCTAGACAGTGGGACAATTTTCACTTTTCAAGAGATTTAAATGAAGAAGTACTAATGTTAATATCGAAAGGTAAAGTTTTGTATTGATTAGACATTTTACTTTTGAATCCCGAATCCGCTCTGCTGCACTTGCAGACAGGTTGCTGTCACTGTGTGCTCGACTCATGTTGGCACTGGAGTTTGAAGCAGAGTTTCCAACACTGGACCCACTGCTGCTTGCAGAACTGACCATGCTGGCACTGCTGCTGCTGGCGCTGGCACTGGCACCGCTCACTCCACTGGTGCTTGCACAACTAAAGTTGCTTCTTTTCCAGGCCTCTCTTGCAGGCCGCTGGCGGGGGCTATGCTCCTTGATATAGTTTCTGACCTTGGGACACATGGACAAGCACTGGTAAGTATTGTACCTAGATGTTCCACCTTCAAGACAGCCAAGAAAAAAAAAAGTGCATTGAATCTGAAAGATTGTCAAAAGTGCTTCATATAAAAAACACAGAGAAAAAGGTCACAAGAAATACTAAATTTAGAAATGAATACCAAGTCAGGTGTGTAGTTTTAGCACTTCTGGAAGGTTGAGGCAGGAGGGTTGCAGTGACTTTCAGCTCAGTCTGAGCTACTGAGTGCATTCCAGTCCAGTCTTGGCTACAGAGTGAAACACCTCAAAAATATTGAGGCAGAGAAAGGAGAGTGGGAAGAAGGAAAGAAAGGAAAGAAAGAAGAGGGTAGGGAGGAAAAGAGGGAAGACCAAAACATTGGCAGTGTTCAAAACTAGCAAGCATATGGATCAACCCTTTAGAAACATATAATCAGTAAACGGAATGATACTGGCCTTTAGAACTTTAAGAAAAGAACACCAAAATAAAAACAAAATTAAACAGATGTGATAAGACATTTTAAAGGTTTCAACTGAAGATGAGTTACTGATTCTACCTCTGATTAGTTTGTATTTTCCCTTAAATTTTAGTGAGGGGCCAATGGTATCTGACTTTCAATAGTGTTATATCAATTTATAATACTAAAGAAACTAGCTGAATTATGGAAAATTATTCTGTTTTGAGAAATGGGAGAATTTTTTCATAAATACTAAATATAAATCAAAATTACTATAAAATACAAAGCTTATTTATTGAGCCATGTATCAGTAAAAGGAGCAACAAAAATGTATTGAGAAGATAATAGAAATGCATATTTCAAAATAATTGAGGGAAAATTATTAGATTTCACTCTACACAGATTCAATTACTCCACATAAACACGATTCAAATCCCTTATCTGAGATTCCTACTCAAGCATAGATTTTTTTCATAGACTACTCTAATTTTTTTTGTTGATTTCATCTTTTTTTTTGAGACAGGGTCTCATGTATCCTAGGCTGGCTTTGAACTTATGATCCTCCTAGCTCTACATTCCGAGTGCTGGGATTACAGTTATGTGCTACTACTCCAGGTTTTAATTAGTACTTTCAGTCTCTCAATTCATCTGTTTTGAGTCAGCAAAATTACATACTTTAGCTATCCTTTAAGCAGTAAGCTTCAAAGCCTACATAACTGAACAGCATGTTCTAGATCCTCATTGCCTAGAAAGTATTGCTAGGTGAGACGTATATAAAACTTCTTAAAATCATGTGCTCTCAAATATTATCATTTTTATTCTTTTTCTTTGCAACACTAGGGATTGAACTCAGAGCCTGTGCATGCTCCATATGCTCTAGCACTGAGTTACACTCCCAACCTCAACGTCATGTTACATTTCACAGCAGTGACTTTGATCTTAATTCTATATGAATGAACATATAATTATGTAAGTCTAAGTCTACATTTTATAAGACGGTAACATCTTCAGTAGATGAACAATCTGTATTTACTTTACATACCTGTTTCAGTTTTTCATCAGTCAGACAGTTAAGTTCAATAATGAACTCACTGTCTGTAGGGGAGATCTGAGCAGAAGGATCAATGATTTTAATAATGTCAAGTTGCTCCCGAAGGCCCATCTCAGTACTCACTTTACGACTCAAATACTCAATATATTCCACCTATATAATAAGAAATTACAACAAACAATATTAATGCTAGGACCTGACCACCTTTAGCATGTCAATTATAACATGCTTTAGACATTAGAAACACTATTATATCCATAGGCTCCAATGAGGAACCCAGTTTCTCTGAAGAACTAATAAACCCTGACTGAATAAGAAAGCTGACTGTTCCTTAGGATCACTGATAATCATCATTATATTTTTTCCTGAAAAGCAGTTATAACTCAAATTCAGACTTATTAAGCAAGTCATATTACTCAGTGGCTGTAAAGAGGTAATAAAAATGAGTTTTGCATCTTCTGTACACATGCTTTTCATTAAGAATGTCAACATATTTACCTGCTCATCATTCGTCATTGCACTCCAAGGAAGTTCATCTAGATTCCGGTGCTTGTTTTTCTTTTTAGGAAGCAGGCAAGGTGAACTTGGAATACTAGGTATGATGTCAGAAAGCACATCACTCCCACTGGCAATGTCACTGCCTGGTAACTTTATAAAAATAAGAAGTACAGGGGATAAGGAAAGTAAACATTTTAAAGTGCATTTTAAATATAGTAACACATTTTATACATTGATTTAAAAGTTATGTTAGCCAGGCATGGTTACACATGCATATAACCCCTACCGTCAGGAAACAGAGGAGGACCAGAGGTTCAAGGCCAGCCAGAGCTACACAGCCAGCCTCAAGTCATGCTGGGGTATACAAGACCATGTCTCAAAACTAAACTAAAATAAGATTTACCTTAATATAAGATTAATGGTAATTATAGAATCAGGGGACCTGGAGGTGACATTAGCATTAACTCACAACTATTTTATTTAAAAAAGCAGCAACGTCAACATATTTTCTTTGTATATATCTACTTAAAAAGATATTTTTTCCAAAAGCATAAATCATAATCAAGAATTACTAAAAACGCTGGATTTAGTGGAGCATGTCTTTAATCCCAACACTCGAGAAGCAGAGGCAGGTGGATCTCCATGAATTTGAGGCTAGCCTGGTCTACACAGCCAATTCTAGGCCCTCCAGTGCTACATAGTGAAATGCTGTCTCAACAAAACAAAACAAAAAAAGAATTATTAAAATGTTAATCTAAGTCTCAATAATCACTAAGGTTTTTAATTTATAATGACAATGTTACTAGGGCCCACAAACATAAAGCATAAGAAGTACTGTTCTCAGGAGACCTGATTGATCTGCACTAATTGGCTTTATTCAAGATGCTATGCTAGATATCCTGCCAACACAAAGACAAATAATTCCATGAATTATTTCCTCAAGTCTATATTAACAACCTAAAAACAAAGTAATTTAAAATTTGGTATTGATATTAAAGCAAAGAACTTTAAAGAGCAGAAGTATTATGGAAAAAAATGAGAAAATAGAAGATAACACGTAGGCAAAGGACAAAGAAAAAGCACACAGGAAAATCAAAACAAATCATTTAAAGTGAGGCAAATATAAAAAATATATTTTTTATTAAAAAACAGTGGAGAGGCTGGAAAAATGTCTCAGTGGTAAGAGCATTGGCTGCTCTTGCAAGTAACCTGGGTTCAGTTCCCAGCACCCACATGGTGGCTAACAACCATCTATAACTCCAGTTCCAGGGGAGCCAACACCCTCTTCTGAACTCCACAGTCATTGCATGCATGGGTGCACTTATATGCATGCAAACAAAACACTCATACACATAATACATAAATAAAAAATAATAAATAAATGAAAAAATTTAAAAAAAAACAGTGGAGCCAGGCATGGTGATATATACTTTTACTCCCAGCACTTGGAAGGAAGAGGCAGGAAGATCTCTGTGAATATGAGGCCAGCCTAGTCTACATAGTGAGTTGTAGGGCAGCCAGTGCTACATGGGGAGACACTGTCTCTATAAACAAAACAAAATACCCCCCCGAGTGGAATAAACAGCTTTATTAATGCATACCTGATAAACAAAACCACATCTGTTCAATGTATAATTTAATGTTAAATAGAAACATATACCTGTGAAACCATTATCTGACACAATCAAGGTGATAGGCATACAAATCTCCAAAAATTAGAGGGAATTTAACTTCAATTAATGTTTTTAAGATATTCATCACACATAACAACTTTGACAGAAGAATGCTTTATCATATTTACAAGGCATAAAATAACTTTATTGTTTTCTTGTTCTTGTTGTTGATATTCTATAAAGTTTCCAACCATATCGGAACTCTGGATGATTTCTAGGCCTTGGAAATTTCCAGAAGAGCAAAGATTTAGTCATGAAAACTACTGCTATCATATGTATTTGAAATCCTACTATATACCCAACACTACAGTATGTATAGAGGATGTCCTAGTTTGTTTCTTCATTGCTGTGACAAAACACCCTGACCATTACCAACTTGGGGAGGAAAGGGTTTATTTATCTTACATCTTCCAGGTCACAGTTCATCAGGGAGCCCAAGGTAGGAACTCAGGGCAGGAACATGGAAGCAGGAGCTGGAGCACAGGCCATGGAGGAACACTGCTTACTGGCTTGCTCCCCTGGCCCCTGCTCAGCCTGCTTTCTTATGCAACACAGGCCCACCTGCCCAGGGGTGGCACCACCCACAGTGGGCTGGGCCCTCCCACATCACTCATCAAGAAGATGCCCCATAGATATGGCCACAGGCCAGTCCAACAGAGGCAATTCCCCAATTGAGGTTTCCTCAACCCAGGTGTGTCAAGTTGACACTAAAGCTATTCAACACAGAGGATTTAAGAGTTTAAATCATGGTCTTGAGCAGTACATTGAGCTCCATAGAGACAGCGCCAGGGCAAGTGAGAGCCAGATGGGCACTGGGCAACTCTGTGCCTCGCTGAGGAAAACTACTAAACATGGGCAAAGGAGATCCTAAGAGGCCAAGAGGCAAAATATCATATGCATTCTTTGCACAAACTTGCCGGGAGGAGCACAAGAAGAAGCACCCTGATGCTTCCATCAACTTCTCAGAGTTTTCCAAGAAGTGCTCAGAGAGGTGGAAGACCATGTCTGCTAAAGAAAAAGGAAAGTTTGGAAGACACAGAAAAGGCTGACAAGGCTCATTATGAGAGAGAAGTGAAAATCTATATCCCTCCCAAAGGGGAAAGAAAAAAGAAGTTCAAAGATCCCAACGCACCCAAGAGGCCTCCTTCGGCTTTCTTGTTCTGTTCTGAGTATCACCCCCAAGTCAAAGGAGAGCATTCCAGCTTATCTATTGGTGATGTTGCAAAGAAACTGGGAGAGATGTGGAACACTGCTGCAGATGACAAGCAGCATTACATGAAGGCCACCAAGCTGAAGGAGAAATACAAAAAGGATATTGCTGCCTACAGAGCTAAAGGAAAACCTGATACTGCAAAAAAGGGGGTTATCAAGGCTGAAAAGAGCAAGAAAAGAAGATGAAGATGATGATTCAGTTTGTTCTAGCACAGTTTTTTTTTCTTGTCTATAAAGCATTTAACCCCCCTATACATAACTCATTCCTTTTAAAGAAAAAAAATTGAAATATAAGGCTGTGTAAGATTTGTTTTTAAACTGTAGTGTCTTTTTTTGTGTAGTTAACACATTACCAAATGTGTCTTTAGATAGTCCTGTCCTGGTGGTATTTTCAGTAGCCACTAACCTTGCCTGGTACAGTATGGGGGTTGTAAATTGGCATGGAAATTTAAAGTAGGTTCTTGTTGCACAGCACAAATTAGTTATATATGGGGGTGGTAGTTTTTTTCATCTTCAGTTGTCTTTGATGTAGCTTATACAAAAATAATTGTTCTGTTAACTGAATTACTCTGTAATTGCAAAAAAAAGTTTCGGCTGTTTTGTTGACATACTGAATGCTTCTAAGTATATACAATTTTTTAAAATTAAAAACAATCATGGTTGATGGCTAGAGAGATGGCTCAGTGATTAAGAACACTGGTGGTTATTGCAGAAGACCCAGGTTCGAATCCCAGCACCCACATGGCAGCTAACAACTGTCTGTAACTCCAATTCCAGGGGATCTGACAGCCTCTCTGTCCTCTGCGGGCATTGCACGACAGGGGTGCACTTACCTACATGCAGGCAATACACATACAATAAAATGAAATAAATAAAACAAAATATAAAATAAAAATCATGGTCTTGTCACACAAACTTTATAGACTACTTAAGAAGGTAACACAATACCATATACATACAACTGCACACTATGTAGCACATGTGAGTTCTGGATCAATGGAAATATTTAGCAATGAGTTGAAGCTTCAAGATTAAAGAATGAAAATTTTACAAGGGGTTACATGTAGCCACTGGGGTATCAATCACATAGAAGAAATGAATGAAGCCTCAAAAATGGGATCAATCATTATGCAAGATGACCATGACTTTTAGAATGAAACTACAGTAGAGACTATTTTTTATATATCCTGATAAGTAGCTACTACTCTTAAGAACACATTTTCACTGATAATCACTGATGACTCCAAATGTATAAGAATCCAGTAATCAGAATGACTTCTTTTAAATTTCCATAAACTAACACTGCTTAAATTGTTCACCCTGAGGGTTAATGTTATCAAGTCACTGTCATAAAAGGATGGTTACTAAATGAGCACATGAAGATCATCTCTTTTCTAGCTTTCATAGGCAAAAAAGAAATTGTTCTGTTATTGTTCCACTAAGTTCAAGACTTTAATACACATTACTACATCAGAGATATTCCTGGAGTCTCTAAAACAAAATGAGAACACCCTCAGATAAAAGGCCTCCTCTAATTCAATCTCCTTTGACAACTGAGGTAGAAAAAAACAAGTCTCAGAATACCTAGACTTTCAGGCTGAAGAGAGAGTTCTGCCACTTGCCTTGCAAGCATGTAGACTTGAGTTTCATCCTCATAACCCATGTAAGAAATCCCAGCAATGGTGAAGTACAAACAGGCAGATGTCTAGGGCTAACTGGCTAGTGGGTCTAGCCTAATTGATGAGCATCAGGTCAATGAAACCCTGTCTCAAAGAATGTGGATGGCATTCCTAAGGATGATACACAAGGTTGCCCTCTGAATGCCATATGCATGCTCACACATGCATATATGCACCACCCATCACACAAGCACGAACACACACACATTTAAAAAATACTTATACTTTCAAAATTAAAGAAAAAATTTCTTCTTCATCTTTGGAGACCACCTGATTCTGGTCAGACTATATGCTGAACTCTTATATTTGCATCTTTGGTTTTGTTTATGAGTCTGTTGTGGGAGATGAGGAGGTATAAAAAAGGTAACAAATACTAGTTTGGCCATTTTTTTCCAAAGAGAAGTAAAAACATCATAGAGTACAAATCCTAGTTTCACTGCGTGTTAGGAGGCAAGGGCTTCTGTAATTTATTTACTGACTGACAGATCTATGAGCTCTTGAGATCTCATACTACAGCTGAGGCCATGTGGAGTTCAATGTGAGGAGGCCCAGGCTGCCTTCTTCTCCCTGCCTCAGCTTCCCAAGT